AGCTGCACAGTTATTTGACTGATTAACAGTGTTCCTACTTTCTCAAATTCAAGCCAATTTTCGCAACAATCATATCACCGCTGACCAATCTTATCAAAAGTAACGGGCCCCTCAATCCGTGGTCATCCGAATCGCGATGAGGCGTTCCCAAAGCTCCGTCATTTACTGACGTCTCATTCGATACCACGCCCCTACGATCCTACAGGCACAACCGAGGTGCACACGGACGCCAACGGAGTAGGCCATGCCATGGTCCTGGCGCAGCGCAAAGCCGAATTCCCCGAATATGTCGCGGCATACGTGAGCCATGAGCTCACGAGAGCCGAGAAAAATTACACCGTCACGGAAAAAGAGTGCCTGGCCATTGCCTGGGCTATTACAAAGCTTCTACCTTATTTATATGCTCACCCATTTGATGCCATCACCAACCACTATGCAATCTGCTGGATGTCGTAACGGAAGTATTCATCAGAACGTGTCGCCCGCTGGGCTATTCGCTTGCAAGACTATGACATCCGCGTGCTGTACCACATTGGCGACAAGCATGTCGACGCCGACGCCCTTCCGCGCTCACCTCTGCCTGCGACAATGACCCATACTCAGTAATTTTCATTGCTGTTTCTGTCGTCGATGTTCACATTATTGGAACCAGTTAGCTTGCCAATCATAAAATCACTCCACTGATCGACGTGCTGCCTGATTCAGTCATAACAACATTCACTCACGCCTATATATATATATATATATATATATATATATATATATATATATATATATATATATATATATATATATATATATATATATATATATATATATATATATATATATATATATATATATATATATATATATAAGAAGTTGTAAAAGACTATGTCTACTTAGGGCAGGTAATAACCGTAAAGCCGAACCACGAGATTGAAGTAACTAGAAGAATAAGAATGGGGTGGAGCACATTCGGCAAGCACTCTCAAATTATGACAGGTAGATTGCCACTATCCCTCAAGAGGAAGGTATATAACAGCTGTATCTTGCCGGTACTCAGCTACGGAGCAGAAACCTGGAGACTTACAAAGAGGGTTCAGCTTAAATTGAGGACGACGCATAGAGCAATGGAAAGAAAAATGGTAGGTGTAACTTTAAGAGACAAGAAGAGAGCAGAGTGGATTAGGGGACAAACGGGGGTTAAGGATATCATAGTTGAAATAAAGAAGAGGAAATGACATAGGCCAGGCATGTAGCGCGTAGACAGGATAACCACTGGTCGTTAAGGGTAACTAACTGGATTCCCAGAGAAGGGAAGCGGGTTAGGGGGAGACAGAAGGTTAGGTGGGCAGATGAGACTAAGAAGTTTGCGGGTATAAATTGGCAGCAGCAAGCACAGGAGTGGGTTAACTGGCGGAACATGGGAGAGGCCTTTGTCCTGCAGTGTACGTAGTCAGGCTGATGATGATGATGATGATGATGATGATGATGATGATGATAATATATTTAGCCGCTTACGTCTGGGTGCTCTCGTGATGAAACGCTTCACCACACCTTGACATGAACCGAAATTTGTACGTGAGGGTAAGATGGTTTAGCGAATATGACGTGCTGCTCATGATATGAATATTGCCACAATCCCGACCCGTACGATATCGAACACCTGCCGCCAGACGGTGCCACATAAACACGGGCGGGTACGTGCTACCAGTGAATGACAGTTTACATCTACCCAAGAAAGGCGAGAACACACATGGGTAATTTTAACGCGTCAGCTTTAAGAAAAAATTGACCCCGCATTTGCATGGTAATCTGCAAATGTCGTCGAAAGACAATAGTCTTGCGTGTAGAGAAAGTGAATAAAACATTTATTTGATGTTCTGCGCTGGAAAATCCGTGAATGGTATTCTGGAGGCGCTGCGTTAGAGTGCCTCGAGCGTGCAGCGGAGGCGAACGAGCGCATCAAGTCACGTCACACGCTTTTCTTGGAAAACGAAGCGCGTGGCTCTGAGACGGGTGTGCGTGCCCGTCTCAGAGGTGATAAGGTGTAGAACACAAGGCGGCGAGTAGGTGCCGCCACCGTCTCGTCTTAGAAAAGCGTTGGAAACACTCGTTTTTTCATGCAAGCGTTGCATGGTCAGTGCCGCGTGATAAGCGCTACTGTCTTTAGAATTACTTATGTATGCCTTTTCTAGTAAAAAGCGTACATCCAGAATATATGCGTGTTTTTATGGTGCCCCACAAATGCGCAATAATTCCTTTTATTTCACATTTGCTCAAGTATGAACGCTGAAGCTTGAGAATCATTGGTGGGTGCTGTGTATAGGGTCGGCCGTTTCAAGTACCTGGTGCCATTAAGAGTGGACAAACAGACAAATGTACTAACTTCATTTTGGGACGGCTTTTAGGGGCGAAGCTCCTTATGGCGTGGCTTGGGCGTCTCTCGTACGTAACCACCAGTGGCACATACCCGAAATAGGTATAACACTTGACCTCCAAGGTGGTGCCAGTGAGAGATTTCTTCTGTGCGTTGTTTAACAATAAAAAATAGTGCTCAATGTACATGCCAATGTCTGCTAATAAGGAATGGGAGACATGAGGATTCGGCTTTTAGTCAACGCGCACGCTGCAATCCCCATTAGCAGCCATTGGCATGTACATTGAGCACTATCGGACAAGGAAGGGATGCTACATTATACTCGCTGGGTGTAACTTCCTTAGCTTTAGAAAGGTTTAGCGAGCGTTGAGCCGCAGTGCCATGAATACAATGAACTTGTATATACCATGAATGAACTCAAGTTGGTTAAAAATGAGAAGTAGATACGAAGCGCAAGCCGTAAGAAAGTAAAAGCCGAATTTCCTGTCTCTCATTTCTCATTAGCAGCCATTGGCATGTAAATTGAGCCCTATCTGACAGGGAAAGGTTGCTACGTTATACTCACTGGGCGTAACCTCCTTGGTTTTCGAAAGGTTTAGCGAGCATTTGGTCGCAGTGTCATAAATACAGTGAACTAGAATATACCATGAACTCGAGGTGGTTAAAGGTGGGACGTGGACCCAAAGCGCAGGCCGTAAGAAAGTGTGCGTGTGCCACCTCTCGTTTAGTCCTTGGAATGTCCGCTGGATGGCGGTGCTTCTATATGGGGAATATATGATAAAAAGATGCGAGATGGTGGGACTTGGAGTGTTGAATAGATGAACGAACGGACACACAAACAGATGCATGGATGGACGCATGAACGGACGCAGGGGCGGATGCATGAAAGAACGCAGGGACGGGCGCACAAACAGACGCATGGACGGTCACACAGACGGACGCATGGACGGACGAATTCTTCGCCCCACTCTCCATCATTGCGTGGCTCACTGCTTGCGTGGCTCACTGGAAGAGTTGCTACTGTCTCTCGAGTGAAATTCCCCAAACGATGAGCGAAAAGTCACCAAAAGTCACCACTTGTCATATGTGTGGTTTGCCTAGTCATAAAGATCACAGTAAAATTTAGAACCCCTCAATTATACTTACGTTTTCCAATGCCAGTCGCATCAGCCGCTTCTTCATCGGAACACAGAGTAAGGGCATACATGCTCAAGTAGCGTTCATGAATGTTAGCGCCTCATATATTATTTTTGCTGGCTTAAATTGTAGCGAATATAGGGCAAAGCAGTCGCAACGACAAAAAGAAGACGGCATGCGTAGCTATCTTGCATATTTAGATAATTACATTGTAGTGAAATCATGTGTTCGATAACGGAACAATTTCACGACAAAATAACAGAAATAAATTACAAAACTGTGTAACCATCGCACTACCTGCATCACTCTTTCTGTGCGGTCGTGCCTGCGCCCCACGTTCGCCTCAGTACAGGTTCTGAAGTTTCAGAAGTTTGCCTAAAAAACCTGATTTCTCAACCAGCCAAAAAAGTGTATGAATAACAAGTTTAAAAGTCTAGAGACCAAACTACGGGGTACTACTGCAGTGCAGAAGTCGCAAGCTATTTAGAACTGTTGGTGCTGTGGTCGGAACCCGCAACCTAACTGTCATCTAGCCATTTCAAAAGCGAACTTCAAAGAAGCTTATAGGTCTTAAACCGTTAAAAATATGTAAGTATACCATCACCGCCTCGCACCACGCGAAGCAGTACACTGCCCTAAATTTTGCAGAGATATTGCTGTCGGCGCACCAGAGAATCATTGCCTCAAGGGTTTCGGTGAATTGAGGAGATACGTAAGAGAAACAAGGCAGACATACTCAACTGCTCGTAAAATATGCCTTTTATTGGTGGGTCTGAAACTACAAAAATGAGAAAAATGGTGTCCACTCATTTTGAGGACACTGAGTGTAGAATAAATAACTCAATCAAGACATGAACCGAAAATGACCAAAAATGCGCCATATCTACATTGAGAACTTAAGGTACTCACTGGTCTCTTAAATTCGCCAATTTGATGAAAAGTAGCTACCAGTGGCAACTCTGCTCACCGGAGAGAATGTAGCTGTGAGAGACTACATAGGCACCTCCATCGGGAGCGGTGAGAACTCGTGTACTCGCCACTGACACGAAGAAGGCACGTTCATAAGAAGCTTACAGAGCAAGCTTCTAAAACATAGCATGACGTTAGCATTACAAAAAAATAACTGTTAAACGTATTGAGAGTGGGTGCACTAGACTGCAGCATCGCAATTGTTGGCACGTGAACCACATCTAAATTAGGAACGCTTGCAATCTCGCGACACGGTGCTTTCGATTCTGCTATGTGTACTAAGTCGGAACCACAATCAGAAATGAAATGAGCTCCGAAGTTTATTGGGATATGCCCACAGCATATACGCACTTTTTCGTTTTATATAATATGTTTCGCTGTTTTCAGAAACGCTATAATGTATTGATGTAACACTTGCCCCATCGCTGAATTTATCAACTAGCAAAAATACAAGCCTACGTTTGGTGAAGTGTTGTGTCATTGTACTGATACGATGGTTAATAGCAGTCAAATACCGTCTTTGTATGTTTTAGGGCGAGAACTCTGCTCCATGGAACATTTAATAATAGCGCTGAACCACTCGGCTCTGTGGACCTTGTGCATAAAGGTGAGGGCTGCTGCTTGAAAACAGCAAATACAACAAGTGGTTATGAAGTGCTCGTGCGTTCGCTTGTTTGCTATAAAAAAGTAATTTTCAAAATATATGTGAACCTGCTATTTACCAACCGTTTCCTGCAAATGCATCGAGTTATGTTTGCATGAGAGTGTGCGTAGGAGAAGTTTCGTATTTTGCGATAGCCGCCATACAAGTGTTGCAAAAAAAGTGCCCGCAGCTTCCCTCGGGGGAACACTGAAGAGGATGTGGAGCATATAATTGGTTAATGGGGTGTTAAAGTGCGACTTACTTGGGTCGATGGCTAAATTGGTTAACGTGGTTGTGAAATGGGGTGTTAAATTGCGACTTACTTGGGTCGATGGCTAAATTGGTTAACGTGGTTGTAGGAGGGGGTGTTAAATGAGTGAAAACGTACACACGTATGCGAAAGGGCGGCGCTGGTCGAAGGGACGTCGATCATTGTGTTTGTGGATTCGTTGGAATTCATTTCACCGCGACCTTGGACGTCGACGCGCCGTACAAACCAACCGACGAGCGGCAACTGAGCGAGCGAGCGCCGACCTTAAGTATATATACAGCGCGACGGCGCATGCACTGTCAGCTGTCGAATGTTCGAGAAGGGGGAGAAGCGCAACGGCGCATGCGCGCGCGTCAGCTGCCGATGTTCTCGAAGCGCGACGGCGCATGCGCGCGCGTCAGCTGCCGATGTTCTCGAAGCGTGACGGCGCATGCGTGCTACATTATACAGCTAGCGAATGTTCGTGAAGAGGGAAAGCGCACGTGGTGTGTAGAGGAGGAAGGGTGCACAGATGGTGGAGGAGTGAAGCGCGCGCGGTGTGTAGAGGAGGAAGGGATGCACAGATGGCGGAAGAAGGAGGAGGAAGCTTGTGGACGGCGCCGCACTACAAGCCTCGAGTATTAGATGCTCCGCATCTAAAACAACATCAAGCCTGGGTTGCGGTAGCTGAGCCACAACATGGTTTGGCATATTTAAAGTCGTTTATAAGAAATGAAACGCCTGCTGAGCGTTGCCTGTGTGGCACGCTGATAATGCTACATGAAGTAACCTTTTTTATGGGCTGTGCTCTACTGTTCCGGAGTTCACAACAAGCTTTTGAAATGTATATCAATGCTACCTTATGTTCACTTTAAATTACTACCAAGTTTTATATTAGCATTCCTAGAAGCATTCTTTTTGGTTCCTTTGATTTTACCTGTTTGTTATTACTCTAGAAAGTCATGCAGTTTTCGTAGATAACTGGCTTCACTGTTCAAAGCAAATGTTTCGCATCAGATAACAATTTCACAAGGATTTGTCCACAGCTAAAATAAAGTAGCTATAACGAACAAGCAGTTCGTATTTTTGTGACAGGAGGAGGAGGAAGAAACTTTATTCAGAGAGAAAAAAAATTGAAATGCAGGCAGTTTGGTCGGGCCCTCAGTCCAGGGCTCCGCTGGCACGAGCGGCTCGCTGGACCTGGTCAAGCAAAGCTATTTGGCTCTGCTTGTCCTCGTCCGCAAGCCATGCCTCCCACTGCCTGTGAAACATGTGTGGTTGCTTCGTGATGTGTGGGCTGTCGATGTGTGTGGGCCTCTGGGTGCACTCCCATGTTATGTGGCTGAGTGTTGGTACTTGTGAACACCACGGACAGGTGTCTTTATATCTTGCGGGATATATTCTACTTAGATGGTACAAATTGGGAAAGCTATTGGTTTGTATGCGTCTCCAATCCCTGTTTTGCTGGCTATCCAAGTCCTTATGTGGAAGCCCATATTCCTTTCGTTGCTTCCTTTGTTGGAGGAGGATGTCACGCGAATTGGAAAGAGGTTCAACGTCGTGGCCTGCCGTCGCTCGGTTGGTGATGCCTCGAGCTATACTGTCTGCCACGACGTTCCCCTCCAAACCTTCGTGAGCAGGACACCATATAATGTGATGGTCTCCTGTTATGGGTTTATTTAAAAATTTATACGCAATTTTAGGTAGCGTTCCTCGGAGAAATATTCGGCATGCCGCCTGTGAATCGGAGAGCACAACCACTGATTCTCCCCTGATTTCTGCGTTGGATATGGCTATAGCTATTGCTGCCGCCTCTGCCACTCGTGTGAAACAAGTTTTAACCGACGCCATTGTGGTGTGATTTTGTGCTACAATTGACACTATATGTGACCCTCTGCTCGCTTTACTTACGTCTGTAAAGACGGCTTCTGAGCTATTCTGAAATGCTTTGCGTAAGGAGTCTGCTCTCGCTTTCCTCCTTCCTGCGTGATACGTCGGATGCATATTTCTGGGAATAGGCGCTACAGTTAAATGTGTGCGTTTTTCCGCATCTATTAGCACCGTTTCCTCGTCACAATATAACGGTCGCAATGTATATCCCATCTTTTCCAGAATCCTTCTCCCATGACAGCTTGAATTGAGCCTTTCCTTTTGAGATAAAAGCACCGCATTCGCATACTCCTCAAAGGTATTGTATATGCCCAATTTCTCTACCCTCTCGGTTTTGGCATTTTCCGGAATCCCCAATGCTGCTTTGAATGCTTTCCTTATTATTGTGTTTATTTGCTTTGTCTCCTGGTTTGTCATTGTCTGGTACGGTAGCGCGTACGTAACTCGGCTGATCACAAATGCATGAACGAGTGCAATGGTTTCTTTCTCCTCTAGTCCCATTTCGCTATTTGCTATCCGCCTGATCATCCGGGCCACATTCGCCGTGGTTCCCCGTAGCCTTTGTAGTGTGTGTGACGTTCCAGAATTTCCTTGTATCCACATGCCAAGCACGCGTATTACATCTGCCTCCCTGATTTGTCTCCCATCCAGCAGTACTGCTACCGGTATTAAGTCCTTTTTCTTTGCGTATCTTGCCCTAATTTTAACCATTTCAGTTTTTTCCGGCGAGCATTCATTTCTGCAGCTGTCACAAAAGCTTGTATTTTATCTGCTGCCTCCTGGAGGGCGTTTTCTTTGTCCGCATAAAAGCCACCCTTTGTCCATAAGGTGACATCGTCTGCGTGAAGAGCTGCTACTAGACCTTTTATATTTTCCAGCTCACATGCGAGCTTTCTCAGGCCGATACTAAATAGTATCGGGGATAGCATGGCTCCCTGGGGGGTTCCTCTATTTGGGTAGTCGAAGGTTTCAGATGTAACCGAGCCTAAAGAAATGGTAGCTTTCCTGCTTGTCAGAAATGACCGGACATACTCATATATTCGTTGGCTGCAGTTAATCGATTCGAGGCCTTCCATTATCACCTTGTGTGATGTTGTATCGAATGCTTTCTTGATATCTAGTGCTAGTACGAATTCGTCGCTTGAACCTCTGTTTGGGTTCATGACGTCCTTTTGCAACAGCAGGAAAACATCCTGGGCCGATACATGTGGTCGGAAACCGAACATATTCACCGGTAGCAGACCCTCTCTCTCTACATAGTCTGTCAATCTAGTCAATATTGTTTTTTCAAAAAGCTTACCCAAGCATGAGGTAAGGGAGATTGGTCGGAGGTTCTTAATATCTCTTGGTTTCCCTGGTTTTGGTATTAACATGATGTTTGAGTCCTTCCATTCTACTGTAAGGTTTCCTCCATCTACCCATACCTTTTCATTAAAGAAATCCGTGATTCGTCGAAGGGCCGTATCACTTAAATTTCTAAGCATAGAGTTTGTTATTTTGTCTCGTCCTGGGGTGGTATTCTTTTTGAAAGACTGGGCCGCCGCATAAACCTCTTCAAATGTTATGGGAGCGTCTAACTCTGGTTGTTTTTTTTCTGCATATTTGCCATGTACCACTTCACATGCGTCTTGTCCGACATATAGTTTCTTGACTTCGTAGATAAGTGCGTCATCGTTACCTTTAAATTCATTCTCCAGAATTCTTTAAGCCCTGTTCGTCATTGTTTTTGTTGCCCCTGGATCGATCATACTCCTCAGGATGTGCCAGGTCTTTTTGGTTCCTAACGTCCCTCTAAGTGAGTTACTAAATTGCCTCCAGTTACTGTTGTTTAGTTGACGTGCGTAGTCATTGGCTTCCTGTGACAACTGAGCTATCCTTATCTTCAATTTGCGATTAAGCTTTTGCTTCCGCCATCGCTTTGTGAGGCTTCTCCGCGCGTCCCACAAATGTAGCAGGTGCTTGTCGACTGCTGGGATTTCCACGCTTGTTTCTATTTCCTTTGTCACTTTCCTGTGTGCCTCCTTTATCTGTGTCACCCAGTTACCTAGATCTATTATTTCCCCTTGGTCTCCTACGTTCTCCCTAAATTTGTTCCAATTAGATATTGTCGCTTTCCCCATTCTTCTTGTCGTGGCGGCATTATAGTTATTCCGAGAATGTAGTGGTCGCTTCCCAAGTTTTCTCCGAGGTGCGCCCATGAGACGTTTCCTTCAGAATTTGTAAACGTTAAGTCCGGTGACGTGTCTTTTGTTAAGCTATTCCCGACCCGTGTCGGTAGGTCTGGTTGTGTAAGTTGGCAGAGATCATACCGTCCAACAAGGTCTACAAGGAGTTTGCCCTTAGGGCTGTCCTGCTTATATCCCCAATTTCTGTGTGGCGCATTAAAATCCCCCATGATAACTAACCTGTCTTTCTCTTTCAATAAACCCATCGCATGTGCTATAATGTTCTCAAAGTCGGCTCGTCTCTCCTTAGGTGGGCTATATATATTGACCCCCACTGTTTTTGGTCCTCCACGTTTTTTGGGCCACACTGTTATTATCTGGTGTTGCACTGCCTCATTGCTCACGTAGCTGACACTCAATGCGATATCTTTTTTGGTAAATGTCGCCACTTGTGGGTACTTTGGGTTAACATGTCTTATGTACCCTCTCAGATTTATCTGAAACTTGCCTACTTCCTGAAGGCAGATTATATCAGGAGGGATTGGAGATGCTCCAATAAATTGTTTGAAATTTTCAAGTTTTGTTCTCAATGAGCAGCAGTTCCACTGCCATATTTCCGTTTGCTCGGTCTTTTTATTGTTACGGTGTCTAGCCATGAT